GTGCCTGTGGGAACAGGATGTGGCCTGAGCAGCCAGGCCACTGGCAGGGCAACTGAGGAGTCGGAATTGCTGGCTGAGACAGCTAGCAGTAGACTAAGGTGTAGCCACTGTGCCCAAGTTAAAACAACAATTAGTATTTATCCCACATATATTTATTGACAGAGATTATACATTTTTATTGGAGAAACAACACAGCTTTTAGGTACCCATTTTCCAGGACTGGGTTCTATATATCTAGTAATACTGAATATTCTGGGCCTATATATCTTTAGTAAGCAGTATGATGAAACCTTTTTTAAGTTACATGTGTGCATACACATAGGTCAGAAGACAGCCTCTCCAGCCCCCATCTCCATTTCACAAATGCCAAGTCAGATGTTTAGAAAAGTTCACTAACTAATTGGTTCACTATATTTGGCCTTCTAAGTCAGGCTTTTAAACACTATAGAGTGTGAGTTCTAACTGTTACACCATATTCATACATTTTTAGCATTCTGGTTTCCCATTATATATAACTATTTTAATGTTGGGCCAGGCTCCCACCTATAATCTCAATGCTTGGGAGGCAGGAGCAGAAGGACTACCACAAATTCAAAGCTAGCCTGGTCTACACAGTGAGACCCTGCCTCAAATAACCATAAAAAGAAACTGCCCTTCAGAAAGACTAGGGCAACTGAAAGCTCCATTTGCCACCAGCATTACAGAACAGCAGCCACATTCAAACCCAGCATTACTTAAAACAAAGTAAAACCAATACAGCATATTATCAATAATTCCCACCTTAAAAATAAACCTTTGCTGCTTACAAATACCTCCTTCCATCTATTGTCTTTTACACTTTCATTTCATTTGCAAATGTTTTAACTATTATTAAGATCTAATCTACCACTCTTTCACCATGTATCCTTTCTTAGTATAGTTAGAAAACCTACCAGTAATTCACATGTTCTTTCTGGAAGACAGCGAGCTTTGCAGATCATTTTCAAAAAACTATGAGCAGATAAACACCTATACCTCATACCCTTCTAATACTTTGTAAAAAGTCACAATGAACAAAAACCAAAAACTATTCCCCTGATTGTCTGAATTTTTTGAAAAGTTCTTACCTCGACCTAAAACACAAATAGCCATCAGATTGGACGAATAATACGTAGAATGAAACTTCAGGAGTTCTTGCCTCACATCGATGCCTTCTTGGTTTGGTCGAGTCTCAAGAGTGTATTTGTTTCCTAAAAATGGATGAAAAGTATTACTTAGAAAGGCAAACTTTGGGAACTTAATAGTTTCATTATGACTGACACTTAAGAAACTATAAGATGAATGTAAGAAACTAACACATGCTATGTTTGAACATAAAGTGAATAACAGGAACAGGGCAATACAATAAAAATAGATTATTAATTGTATTTATTTCTTTGTTTGAAATAGGGTCTCTATGTAGCCCAGGCTCATTTGATACGTTAGATCAAGTTGACTTTGAACTCAGAGGTCTGCCTGCTTTTGTCTCTGAGTGCTGGGGTCAAAACCACATCTGGCTAACTAGTAATATTTTCAACTAGAATTTTCCAATAGGAACTATAAATGCTATATGAAAACTATGTTTTTTAGGCTAAGAATGGTGGCATCTGTTTATAATCCCAACAGTTGGAAGGCTGAGGCAGAAGGATTGCAGGCCCAGGTCAGACTGCTACATAGTGAGATTGCCGTCAGCCTGAGTTAAAAAGTAAGACTTTGTCTCAAACAACAACAAATGAATAAAAAACTTGTTAAAATCTTCAGGAGATAGGCATTATGGCCATTTTTAGATAAAATGAGACCCACTGGCTTCCACTCACACTTGCTTTAGTTTTCAATTCCCTGTGCATCCTATAATTAATTGAACAGACTCACTGGGGGAATCTTTTCAGAACTTACCAAGTTACTTGTGGAAAGAAAAGAACAAATTTACTATTTTGAGGAAAAGCATTAAGTCTGTGATGTGAATTCTCATGGGTTTCATCTAAATTGGGAAAAATAGGATGCAGTGTCATTTTTTATAGACCTCAAGTGATGCACACGGTATGCCAGTGTGAGCTCTCTTATGAGAACTAGGGTAAAACTGCATGTCAAAAATCTGTGACGTTCTGTAATAAAGACCTTGTAAATTAGGGACTGCTGCTATAGTGAAGTGTAGGAAGGAATCCTGCCTTACGTATATATCACACAAAAAGATGCATGTATTTCAAATGGGAAAAAGTAAACACTATAGCTAGAAAAATAGAGAAGAAAGCTGAATAAACGGTCCTGATGACAGTTTCCCACCCAAACCCCTATGTAGGGAACCATGTGAATGCAGCTGAGCTAACAACGAGCAGTTCACTCTCCAGATACACACTGCCCTAAATTAGTGTTAATTCAGCTGCATCATTTGTACCAAATTAAAATGCTGCTACTTGGATCAGAAATCCTTCCTGGCTCTGTCAATATTAAAGCAAGCCCTAGCTCTAGACCAAGGACATCGGGATGTTGACTATGACCCTTCCTCCCAAGGTCTGCTGGGAGAAATCCTGCCAGTGCACTTTGCTTCTGAATAAAATGTTTGACTACTTTGGGGGGTGGGGGAAGGAAAGAGGCAAAGGGGAACAAAGCAAATGCAAAGCCTATGGAAAATACTTGGAGAATAGTAAGATTAAGTCAGTTAAATATATATCAAGTATTTCTATATCCACAAGTGGACTCTGATACTCAAAACATAAATTAGTTATCTCTGAAGAATGGCAGGGAACCAACACATTATCTTGAAAATTGGTAAATGAACAGAATGAAGCATTTATCCTGTGTAATAATTGTACCACTAACCCAACAAATAGTAGAAAAGGAGATTTTTCTAGTCATTGTATCTACAAACTAATGAACAGGGAATGACTAACAGAATTAAGAGAATCAGAATTAGGGAGAGAAGGCATTGAGGATCAATACTCACTACTTCACAGACAGACAAATACCATATGCCCAATGGAAGAACACTACTATCTATTACAAAGTTGTTGTGCAGTGATATATTGCTTATTATTTATTAAAGCTTGCCTGAGAATTCAGAAAGCAAAGTCAGCCACAAGTTACAGAGGTCAGGCAATGGTAGCACACACCTTTAATCCCAGGACTCAGGATTAAGAGGTAGATGGATCGCTGTTACTTCAAGGCCACACTGAGCTACACGAAATTGATACAATCCTAAAGAGAAACAGCTCACACACCTCTCATTTTTTAAAAATTTATTTATTTTATGTGTATTGGTGTTTTGCCTGCAAGTATGCCTGTGTGAGGGTATCAGGTGCCCTGGAACTAGAGTTATAGACAGCTGTGAGCTGCCATGTGGGTGCAGGGAATCGAACCCATGTCCTCCGGAAGAGCAGCCAGTACTCTTAACCACTTGAGCCCTCTCTCCAGCTCCAGGAGGATCACTTTTAATTTCAAGTCAGCCTGGTCTATGGAGCAAGTTCCAGACCAGCCTAGGCAACAGAGTGAGATCATGTTTCAAAAGTAAAATATAATAGTAATATTAGAGTGCAAAAGGCAAAGGCTTTGGAAGGTCTTGTAATAGAAACCTTAACGTAACACAGGACAAGGAATTAACACCTGCACAATACCACACTGGATATCATAACCCTTTATAAATGGTTGCATTATATAAGTAGAAATCTGATCCTCAAACTGTATTGCAGCTTTCAGCAGTGTGCCTGAAGGTCTCCCTTGCCAATAATGCTGCAATGAACAAACCATGTTCTTGGATTATTACACAAGAGCACAATGGTTAAGCTCATTGACTGAACCAAAAAACCCTAGAGGTAGAGCTACTACTGGTTTTGAGTTGTAGCACAAAGGCATTTAAGCTACTGCTAACTGGATTGTCGCTAGAATCAGAAATCACAAAGTAGAACTAGAGTGTCCATGGTTAGGAATCAGAAGAATTGATATGTCTGAGACTGATGGTCTCCACTTTGTATATATCTGGCATTGAAGCTTTTTCTCTCCCACTTGTTTTTATCCTGTATTAAAGAGCTGTTATAAAAATCCTACCTATCTGTGTAGTTAATTAAAAACAAAGTTGATTATACTTGGTGCAAGTACAGCAAAATAATCTTATGTGTTTTACTGAGTATTTATTGTGTGGGTGTACATGTGGTCAGAGGACAATTTGCAGGAGTTACTTCTCTTCTCCCATGTGGTCCCAGAGATCAAGCTCAGCTCAGACATGGCAGGAAGTGGCTTGACAGGCTAAACCATCTTGCTGGCCCAACAGCTAGTTTGAGAATGGAATACACTAGAACTCTAGTTCTAACTATATTCAGAATGAAAGCTCTAGAACTAGTTTTAGATTTCTTTGTTAATCTAATCAGATTTGGGGCTGAAGAAATGGCCAGTAGTTAAGATGAATACAGCTCTTGCAGAGAACCCAAGTTCTGTTTCCAACACACACATCAGGTGACTCACATCTGCCTATAATTCCAGTTCCAGAGACCTGACACCCTCTTCTGGTTTCCACAAACACTCACTCACACACACACGGCATATATAGAACACACAGATACATACATGAAAGACTATCAAAATGATCCATCCACCTAAATGCTATATTTAAAATCAATTATTCCACCAGGCATGGTAGCATATACCTTTAATCCCAGCACTTGGGAGGCAGAAGCAAGTATAAGGCTAGCCTGGTCTACATAATGAGTTCTAGGACAGCCAGGACAATGTAGGGAAACTGTCAATAAAACAAAATAAAAAATTAAAAAAAATATATATTGATTCCTCGAAAGTATTGATTTCTTTGTATTCCAGTCTCTGTACTAATAATCCAGTAATACCACCAATAAATATATCTATAAACCCTTTAAAAAATGAATCTGGGCCGCTGGGATGCGGCTTCGCCCGGACTCAGACAGCTGGTCCGTGTCCCGTCAGGCACGGCGCGAGGCTAACGCGAGATCTGAGCAGGTGCAGGGTGCCAGGGCAGGATGTACACGCTGCTTTCAGGGCTGTACATGTTCCAGAAGGATGAATACTGCATACTGATCCTGGGCCTGGACAATGCTGGGAAGACGACCTTCTTGGAACAATCAAAAACACGGTTTAACAAGAACTACCAGGGGATGAGTCTGTCCAAAATCACCACTAGCGTGGGCCTAAACATTGGCACTGTGGACGTGGGGAAGGCTCGCCTCATGTTCTGGGACTTAGGTGGACAAGAAGAAGTACAGTCCTTGTGGGACAAGCACTATGCAGAGCGCCATGGCGTCCTCTATGACATTGGTTCCACTGATGAGGAGTCAGAGTCCAAAGAGGCATTTGAGAAGGTGGTTTCGAGTGAGGCACTGGACGGTGTCCCCATCCTGGTGTTGGCCAACAAGCAGGATGGGGAGACCTGCCTCTCCATTCCTGACATCAAGACTGCATTCAGTGACTGTACCTGCAAGATTGGCCGGCGAGACTGTCTGACCCCAGGCCTGACTGCTCTCACAGGCAAAGGAGTTTGAGAGGGCATCGAATGGATGGTGAAGTGTGTCGTGCAGAATGTCCACCAGCCACCACGGCAGAGGGACATCACATAAGCACCAACTTTGCAGTCTTGGAACTGTTCATCCCCTGGTGTTGGAAGAGCGCTCCCTGCTGGCTCTGTGCCACTGATGCTGGGGTTAAGCTGACTGTTAATCTTTTATTTGCTTTGTTTTCTCTTAAGACAACGTCTCTGTGTCTGGAAAAGTGTAGGTATCCAGAGACAAATGTAGGGCACACAGGCCATCCAGCTGTATATGCCACCCCATCCCAGATCTGGGACCCTCCCAAACTAGTGAGGCTACTCCTAGGCTTGTCTGTTAGTTCATTCCAAAGTAGAATTTGAGGGCAGCCTGCTTGAAGTGGGGGCCTATCTTGGGCACCTGCTTTGTCCGGCTTGCCCATGGAGAAGGTGGGAACTGTCAGGGCTGTTCTCACTTGGAGTTGGGTGTGTGCCAGACAGGATTTCTTTGTAACCATGCTAACCTGGATCCCTTTGCCTCTTGCCCTGTACCTGTGGGAATTATAGGTGTGGGCATCACACTCAACCTTCCACTGGGTTTTGATATTCTCAGGACAGGGTTCAGTAGACCTGCCGGGGGAAGTCTGACTTCCCTCACTAGCCCATTCTCACTCTGTTTTTATCTCCAAAGGAGAAAGCTGGAGGACAAATCTTGCTGAGTGTACATTTCAGTTCCCGTACTCAGGTTGTGTGGTATCCTTAGGGTGCAGCTTTCACCAGGCATTAGGTGTTGCTGTAGCTAGTGTAGGTGGATTGGGTCCCTACAGGATCCAGGTCAGTTAAGTGCTGGGTTTGCATCTCCAGATGGGTGTGAGGTGTGGGGTTCCTGGGTGACAGCAGTCATGCTCACTAGGCCTACTGGGTTAAATTCTTGCTCATGTGGCCAGGATAAGGTTATGAAATAAAGACAGCCTAGGTAAAAAAAAAAAAAATGAATCTGGTTCAATACCTGCCACTTTGTAAACACAAATCAAGAGTCAGGATCAAAACATAAAGACCTAACAAAAGATTTCTAGAAAACAACAGAGAAAAACTTACTATTGGCCATGCCAATGACTTTTTTGATATCATATCATAAATTCAAGTTACATGAATGAAACTACATCGACCTAATGAACCTTCGAATAGAAGAGCAAGAAGAAACCAACAAAATGAAAAGACAACCTATGGACTGGTAAAAAATCTACATATAGCAGATGTGATAATGAGTTAATATCCAAAATTTACAAAGATCCCCTCACAACTCCATGGCAGAAAAACAAATAGCCTCATCAAACTATGGGCAAAGGAGGCCAGATGTAGTGGTGTAACCACAGCACTTGAAAGGCCAGCCTGGACTGCATAGTGACCTGAGGCCAGTGTGGGCTACACGAGTTAACACACACAACCGTAATCACAGCCGTCAGGAGGCTGACAAAGGCATGGCCTACACAGGAGACCCTGTTTCAAAACACCAAACAAAAACAACCCAATAAACAAACACTCTAGGGAAAGAAAGTGCTTGCTAACACAGTATTCAATAAAGCCAGTAAGCTGGGAAAGACGTGGAGAAATCATGCCTGATTTGCCTCCAGGGAAATCCCAGGTCGGCTTTGCCTCCCCACCTGTTAACCCTGCTAGTGTAGACAAAACCCTTTACATTCTGGGAAATAGAAGAAAAAACTTGCCAACTGACAAAGTAAGCACGGCTCCATTTATAATATTGGAACTTGTTATGGAATATTATGTAACAATTTCACACACACACACAATTAAGAAAGTGTCACCCACAGCAGAAACACAGCCCTACCCGAAAGTCCTCCCACTTGCTTCTGGTCCACCCATGTGTCAAGCAGGGCCACCACCCTCTCCCTTGCTCTTTCATTTCCTTCCCACTGACTACACCCAGCTGCTCTCAGTGTCTATGGGGTGATGACTGGGAAAACAGATCACTTAAGAATAACCACGACTACATTTTCTCCTTGCCTGCTCCAAGACTGCTTGTGAAAATACTCAGTTGCTCCCATTTTAATTTCCATGGACAGGGAAAACAAGAAGCCACAATCAAATTCCAAAATCAAACAAGGAAGAACAAAAGCTTCTAATTTATTAAAAATCTATAGATCTAAAATCAAAGGTATATATTGAAAAAAGAAAAGAGGAAAAGCACGTGGATACCAACCGGGGATTCAAGTTTAAAAAGACACAAAGCCCATAATTCCAGCACTTGGGAAATAAGAAATTCAAGATAACCCATTCTCCTCCACATAGTGTGATAAAACCAGCCTGCGATACAAAAGACCCATCTAAAAGAAAGAAAGAGAGAGAGAGAGAAAGAAGGAAGGAAAGAAAGAACAGAGGGAGGAAAGGAAAGAGGGAGGGAGGGAGAAAGGGAAATTTCTGTAAGAGTACATTAGGAAGTCACTATGCCTAACTTTCCAATTAACTTCTACAAACGCTTAATTCCGTAGTTATGTCAATTTCTCTGGAAGTTATTGTATGTCTAAGAAATAGTATCTAAACTTAAAGAAATTAATTTATAAAATTAATTTATAATGTACTAAATAATATCTTTGTTTTACATTTTAAAATAACTAAAGCATTTTTAAAAGCATAGTAATGTTGCTGGGTAATTGCTTATAATTCTAGCAGTAAGAAAGTTACCATAGGAGGATTTTTTGTTTTGGTTTGGTTTTTGTTTTTCGAGACAGGGTTTCTCTGTGGCTTTGGAGGCTGTCCTGGAACTAGCTCTTGCAGACCAGGCTGGTCTCGAACTCACAGAGATCCCCTGCCTCTGCCTCCTGAGTGCTGGGATTAAAGGCATGAGCCACCACCGCCTGGCTCATAGAAGAATTTTAAGTTTTAGGATATCGTGGGATACAAGGCAAGACCCAGTTTCAAAAACACACACAAAAAAAACAAAGTTTAGGGGTATGGCTTAATTTGGAATGTTTGCCTAGCATCTGAAATGTGTGGACTCCTACTTGAATGGGATTCAAAATGAAATGAGAAATTATGGAACTCCTGTACAGGGAACCCATGAGACTCAGTGAGACCCAGGACCACAGCAGCTGATGTATGACAGTGACAAACCTGTCCCAAATTTGCTGAAGGGGTGCTTGGGATTCCCAGTAGCTTTTTCCAACTGGAAGAGTCTCCAGGCGTCGTTCATCACATTCTTCTCGTGTTCTGAATCGACTGCATTCACCTCTCTGTCTTTACAACTTGCATCAAACAAGGGACACAGGAAAAACTGGGCAAACCTAAGGGTATAAGACAGAATTACCAACTTGAGAACTACGATTTTGAAAGAAAAACTTTTAAAATACTTTTGAAACTGTTAGTTAACATGATTTACATAAGACCAGAAGAAATTGGGGTTGAGGACACAGCTCAGTAACAGAATGTTTGCCGAGAATGCAGAAGACCCAGGGGAAAAAAAATATAGGGCCAGCCCTGGTGGTGCACATCTTTAACCCCAAAACTCGGGAGGCAGAGGCAGGCAGATCTCCGAGTTCCAGGGCAGCCTGATCTACAGACTGAATTCCAGCAGAGCCAGGGACATAGTGAGACCTTGTCTCATTTTAAAGAGAGAGAGAGACAGAGACAGAGACAGAGACAGAAGAAAAAAGTACCATTGCTCTAAGAAAAAGGAATATAAAAGAAGTTCTAAATAATAGAAGAAAAATACACTATTGGACATATGTAAAGTCAGAGGTGTTGATCTTTCCAGAGATGCTAAAATTGGTGAAAACATAAGCATATTAACATTAAAAGGTTAAAACTGATTTTAAAAGACAGCTGGCCAGGCGTTGGTGGTGCACACCTTTAATCCCAGCACTGGGACCTTATGGCATAACAATACAGAGAGGGCTTGGTCCTGCACAATGGCAGCCCAAATAGAAACCACAATTACTGTTAACTAGAGTTAATTCCTCGTTGGATTTCGCATCCCATCTCCTAAAACCAGCATTGTGACCCACCATTCTCTGTCACTGGTGTGCTGGGATAGTAAATATTACATTGGGTGTTCAGAAATTCCTGTATATACATCAATATATACATCATCACTGGACAGGTCGACAAAGCTCTCTATTGGAGTCAATGAGCGACATCCTAATACCCATCTTGTTTATAACAGCTGATCTCCTTTTAATGGTAAAAAGGGGAATTATGGTATGGGTATTGTTTTTCATTTATTGATACAAATTCAAGGTCAATTTTTGTGATGTGTATATTTCTCCTCTTGATTAAGTATTGTGCTTATACTGATCTTTTAAAATGTAATGCATAATTCAATACAGACTATAGATAGTTACTTATAATAGAATTTATAGTTAGGTAAGTTAGGATTTCTAGATATATAGAGATGTATTTGAGACAGATAAACAGTCTTCAAACCTTTCAAAGACATTCAGAAAATGGCATTTAAAATGGTTTAGGGTTTTTCTTGAAAATGAGAAATGTCTGCTCCTGGCAGCACCAATTACGTCTGAGAGGAAGATGGGTATCGAAGAAACTTGTTATGGAGTTTGCTTTCAATATGGCAAGATTAGCCATTTGGGCAAGAAACTGCTCTTGCCTGTACTGCTTGACTGTTGTTGTATAATCTGGACATGCAGGACCCACAGGAAAGTGACTGTTGAACTCAGTCTTACAGGGTTCCTGCTTCATGGAAGAGTCTACCAGACTTTCTACAGGACAGAAAAATGACTGACAGACTGCTGATGCAGATGGACAGTTTGAAATTTCCTGCTTTGCTGAGAAGTGTTCCAGACACACTGTGGCCTCCTATAGGCTGAAGATGGATGCCCCAACATTACAGAGGAACTTCGGGTGACTGTCCAGGCAGTAAGATATCTTTGTCAATCCTAGTGTTTATATATTATCCTTCTGTGGCCTTTGATGGAGTTGAAGACAGATAGTTATAGTGTTCCTTAGTTATGATAAAAGATAAGCTACATATAGGACTTTGGACTCACAAGAATGAGATAGATGATATTTTCTTTAAATCTTGCTGAATGTTGATAGACAAAATATTGTAACTGTATTCTTACTTGATAACTGTTCTGTTGTATATAATTTGACTATGTTAAAGTTAAGACCTTTCTTTTGTTTAAACAGAAAAGAGGAGATGTTGGGGAAGTCCT